CTTTTAGAATACGGGCGTAAGATGCCTGGCATACCAACCACTTGAGCTTAGACGTCAAGAACATGCTTTTAATTTTGTTAAACGATGTATTGGTCGTAAAGCACCACAGTTTTTGTCATGATTACTTTGTTTTTAACAAAGATAAAACAAGTATAGAATAACTCGGCAATCAAATTTATTACATCTGCCGAAAGTCCGAACTGAAGTTAAAAGATCTTTTTACTGCTCTGCATGGGTGTGTCATCCATAATGAACGCATAAGGAAATAACCTTACTTGGTGTGATTTGTCCATCTTAGGAGGAACTAATTTAATACATTACCTTAATTGAACACTTTTATCATAGCTATCTTTTAATTGTATATAGTCGATACTATAGCTAGTTTTTATCTGTAATGGGTGATTCCAGGTATATAGACGAAATTTTGATCTAAACAAGAAAAACGAAATCCATTACCATAGCTGGAAAGTGCATCTTAAAATGAGTAAAATTGCAAAGTTTGGTTGCGAATTGTTGTAAAATGAGGAAAATATAGCCCTGTGAAGTTCGCAAATGTTGTATATATTTGCATTACGCGCGGGAAAAATAACCATTTTTGAGCCGAAAGTGGTTATTTTTACAGCGCGTAATACAAATATATACAAAATTTGCGAACTTCGCAGGGCTATATTTTCTTCATTAGTTCATTTTACAACATTTAGCAACCAATCATTGCATGCAGTTTTACTCATTCTAAGATGCTCTTTCTAGCTGTGGTGTTGGATTTCGTTGTTCTTGCCTTGATCAAAATTATAGTCTCTATAGCTGCAATCACCCATTGTCTTATCGCATGGCTTCTGTTGATAACACATTTTTTATATGTAAAGCTAATAGAATTACCCTGTTAAAAATAAAGACCATTTCATTACATTTCGATGTCCTAACAAATTTTGATCGATTGTAAATTTGTAACCAGTATAATCCTAATTCTTTATCTATAGTCGATCCTCATGTAAATTTATTAATATATTTTGTATTCTCTGTTTGAATAAAGTTTTGCATATATATATAGAAGCCATAATATATATTAATGTTATACCTCAGACCCTCAGATTCTGCCAACTAATATTAATTCATTCAACTGCATGCAATCCGATAGAAGCTTCGAATTCTTTGCATATTAGGAAGGAATTTATGAGATACCCGATAGAGATTTACGACTCATTTGCCATCGAGACATATATGTATGATAAAATTGCAAAAACACGTTAAACACCGATAACACAATTCAAAGAATTAGATGCTCAGTACGATTTGGTCATTCGGTATTTGTATAATACTATTAATTTTTAAAAACTGGAAATGCGTCAATAGTTTATCTTCAAGAACATTGCCCAAAATGGATGCGTATAGAGATGAAAATGATTACTCAAGGGCATCTGCCGCATTTCATTCCAATGGCATTTTCGGACTTATAAAATCCCCGGATATTTTAAGATTTTCCAGATTTTTTGCGAGTTTTTTTTAACGAAATTGAGATGGATTTTTTTTACTTTTCCGGATTTTACTAATTATAGTAGGGCTCAACATACAGCAATCTAATACTCTCCTGAAATGCCGTTTGTTTATCATAGCATATAATGGTATATATCGGGATTTCGGGATCTGCACTCGACATAACTATATAATAATAATATAATATATAATTAGCATCACCTTTGTATTTATACATGAACTTGCGGTTCAATAGACAATTCCCATTATAGACTAATTTTAAAACTAGGCAAGGAGATGCAAATAAATCACCACTGCTAGAAAGAGCATACTAAAATGAGTAAAATTGCAAAGTTTGGTTGCAAAATGTTGTAAAATGCGGAAAATATAGCCTTGCAATGTTTGCAAATTTTGTATACTTTTGCATTTCGTGCGGAAATTGCTACCATTTTCGGCCCAAATGTGGTAGGAATTTTCGCACGCAATACAAAGGTATACAAAATTTGAGAACTTTGCAAGGCTATATTTTCCTCACTTTGCAACATTTCGCAACACAAATTTATAATTTTACTAATTTCAGTATATGCTCTTTCTACTTGTGGTGATTATTTGCATCTCTTTGCCCAGTTTTAAAATTAGGTTATAATGGGAATTGTCTATTGTCTCCGCTCTCTAGCTCAGTTGGTTAGAGCGTTTCACCGGAATCGTATAGGGCCGCAGGTAATTCGATTCCTGCCAGAGGCCTATATAGTGTTGCATTTTGCACAACTGTTCCTTGGTTAGGTCTAGTAATAAATGTATAAAAAATTCACACTCGCAATAACTCTTCTACTTACTATAGTAGTATATACTGATATCAAGGGCTTGTTTTGCACACCGGCTGAGTGAGACGAATGATTTCTGTGTGTGCATATGACTGATTTTATCCCATGCATGCACCTATAATATCTCGCCTCGGTGGGACGACATTCTTGCACGTTTATATTGTAAAGTACAGATACAGATACAGATATTTCACAGCACACTCCCTATCAGGGCTTTTCAGTGACTGGTTACATTGTGAATAGATAGATAGAACCGGACTGACGTGAAGCAGACCGAGGTCGACTTTGAGCTTCCAAATGGCGCTTGAGCAGCCGCTATTAGTCCATACCTGATTAATGATCTGCCTCAGACCTATGTGCCTAACCCACCCTGTCAACTTTCCCTGTGGGAGAAAGCACGGAGTACCCAGAGAGAATCCACGACTTTCGGCAGAGCGTTGACTTTTACTCTTTTCACATGAGGACTGGGTTCCAGTCACATTGAGAAGTTCTCACCGAGATTTGAACCTGCGACTTTAGAGGTGGGGGCACGTGCGCTAACCACTTCGCCACCGAAGCCGCTAGTGTTGTAAGGACTAAAGTCTGGTGTAAAATGGCTGGAGTCACTTTTGACTTCCATTATACGTACCAATATATTAAACAACTTCGCGCTGACCTGGTTTGCATGTAAGTGCTTAGTGGTTCCCAACTATAGTGGTGGTGGTGGTGGTCAAATCTGAACCTCGCAAATAATTTCACAGTAATGTAGTATTTATTCTTGCATGTTTTATAAAGTGTATAAAGGCCTGTAAAATCAGTATTATACGTTGTCCAGTTTGTAGTCCGTAATATGTCGTGTTTTAAAATTTAGTGTTAGATAGATGGACTTAGTATATGGGATTCTAGTTCTGCACCAATCCTTCAATCATATAGCTGCATGTGTATTTTTTAATATAATAAGATTGTAAAATTAATAAAAAATATGTAAACATGGCGTTCTTGAATGATTTTTTGTTGTAACAATAGTGTCTGTTTAGATCTAATTAATGCTTACTAATTGTAAATATTTTTAGGGATTTTTTAAAAGATTTTCAAGGATTCTGGAGTGACATACTAGTACTTAACATATTCCTCGTATTTATTTTGAGTGATAACATTAACGTTTATATTAAGAGGCAAGTTTTTTCAATGTCACGCATTTGCGATGAAAGGTGTTCAAAACCAAAGGTCATTTTGGCGTACCTCTCAAAATTACTTTGTTTTGACTATACTGTTAACTATCTTTTTAAATGCATTTGCCGGTTGAGAGACATAAAATAATAGCAAAATTTACAGCAATATATTAAAGCAAAACTTACTGAACTTCAGACATCATTTTCTCTTTGGCGTACCATCTAAAATCTCTTCATTTTAGCATTATTTTACAGATAAAGGACTAAACATACTTTTTAAGTTGGTTTGCCGATTGAGAAATGTATCGAAAAATAAAAAAATTGAATGTATATAAACCGAAAGTGGTATATTACACTCATTAATTTTGTCTTTTGAGCGCGTGTTATGTAATATATCTCCTCTTAATTTAAATCGATTCAAAAAGTGTGACAAAGGTTTATTACACAAGTGCACAACACTGTCACTGATAACGTAAAAAGGAATGCAACATTTTGTTAATGCCGCTTGTTCAACTATCTCAGACTATACTTTAGTCCTGTTCCGTGAACCTGGGAATTGGCAAGACATTTATTTTTACTATATAGTATAGCTTGTTGGTTTTGAGATAAAGGAGCTTAAAGTTAGCAAAATAGTAAGTTAATAGCATAAATTAGTGCACTTTCCTATTTTTGAGACTTTAAAAATATCATATTTCTCGATGTAACAAAAAAACTTGTAACAAAAATGTCATCAAACAATTTTTTAGCACATTTTTTCGGTTATCGCCGTCCGTCAATCTATACAAACAGCTTTCGACTAGGAGTCTAAGTGGCGAAACTGATCAGCATGCCTATATTTCCCGAAACATTTGAATTAACATACACGTCACTGACACATTGCAGCGCATGGCAGCATAGCTAAACTGATAAACAGATGACTATAATACCAGCGCGGTGCACAAAGAAAAAAGCAAAACACTCCAAACACTAGTTAATAGCAAATATTAGAAAAACAAAGAAAATTCTAAGTATATACAAGGACCCTAGCGTTGCTTAACAATTGTGTTTGCGGGGGTCCGATTTAGAAGTTAATAACATGAAATTAATGGCAATTTAATGACCTCGACTCATTAAAGTATTTTAAGTATCCCAACCGCGATACGGGGGCGTTTATTATTGCATTTCATTGTGAAAAACATATGATAATCCCTTCTTTGTGGTAATTTCACACTGGAAACCAATTGTTTGATCATATAAGGAGGTGTTCTAGTCATTTTTTCATCATAACACGATGCATGATCTCCCATATACATAGCCATAAAAACTATAATTTAAACTTTTTTCCAACTGTGAAGTATAATTATATAATCATTTGTAAATATTTTATAGTTTTTAAATAGTACGATATAGTATAGTTTATATACATATATTTATATTGATATACAAGCGCAAGCAGAAAACTTTGCCTGTCGCAAATTAATATAACACTGCAGAACTAGCATTGTTCGATGCTGAATTAAAATAAACGAGTATGTTTTACCAGGAAATTGTAAAAAACGCAACTATAGTATATAGCCAGGCAGGAATCGAACATGCAGCCCTGCATGTGATTCCATTGCAGCGCTCTATAACCAACTGAGCTACAGAGGCGACACTTGACCAACTTTCGTAAGATTATCGCAAATTTAAACCCCTTAGCCCTCACCATTCAATGTTGATTGCATTCGCAGCATACGGTTACAGCAATAGTAATACATCCAATATTCTTTGGGGTGGAGATGGGAGAACAAATAAATTATTCCGGTCCAACAGTAAAAAAGTCACAGAGTAAAATGTGTTGGCCAAGTTCGATAAAAACGGTGGGAGGCCGTATAGGAAAATAAATAAATAATAATATATCGTTAAATGCTTTTTCTCCGAGAAATCGCCTGGCAATGATTGAAAATGAAATCAACTGTATTGAAATTCATAGTGTTCAATAGTGTTCAGTCTTTTGAATCTCAAGTGGGCTGTAACATGAGATACCAATCCTTTTTATAACAAAATGATTCCTTATTTGTATAATTTATATTGTTCCTGGAAATTATAGATATAGCAGCGTAATTGACCTTTTCTCATGCATGCATGCATGCCTAAATAAATCCGCTATATTGTGGAGACAAAATTTTTACTGAGAAAAGATAGCAGTACGCATTCTCTCTATATATAATTTTTATGATATTGTTCTTTTCAGAAAAACTCGAAAGATGGTTCTTAGGGCAACTATTTTTAGCCAAACGACCATCATTAAATCGCCATTAATAAAATTGATGAGTGCATGAGTAGCATGCATTCATTGAAGATCTCTTTATAATGCTTCAGGCAATAAAATAGTTGAAACCTTTTTTAAAGAAACTATTTTGAGACAAGAACTCCAGTACCACTTGTACTAATTCACTATTAATAACATTATCTAATGAGTGCTATTTAACGTCATTTACTTAATTAAGCCTACTAAGTTTCCATTTGGTCGTTAGTTGTCGCTGGCACGACAATTAAGTGGCTGATGTATTAATAGAGTGTCAACAAAACTTTACAAAACTCTGCAATCATTAAGACTGATTTGCATATAACACACAAAAAGACTACTATTATACAGGGTGTATCAAAAAAACCGCAACCTCGGAATTTCCTAAGAAATCACTTTGCAATTCTTAAGCATAAAAGATTTTAGGCCCCTGGGAATTGAAATCGCATTGCTAATAGATCATATTACTGTTGTTGTGCATTAAATAAATGCATAAATTTTGCTTTATGCACTCGTGTGTGCAGTAATTTTGACAGTTATGTTATTTTAAATTCCCAGGCGCCTAAAATCTTTTGTCTTTAAAACAATGTCGATTTCTTGGGAAATTCCGAGGTTGCGCTTTTCTTGATACACCCTGTATTAGACTATTTCACATCTACCGCTTGTCGTGCCAGCGACAACTAACGACCAAATGGAAACTAGGCTTTACAAGCAGCATAAACAACAAAACAAAGCATGAATGTTACTCTGAGGATTTCAAAGACAAAAAAGAAAGAATTTTCCTTTGAATTTGCTTTTGTTCTACAGGGTGTATCAATAAAAACGCAACCTCGGAATTTCCTAAGAAATCGCTTTGCAATTCTTAAGCATAAAAGATTTTAGGCCCCTGGGAACTGAAATCGAATTGCTAATAGATCATATTACTGTTGTTGTGCATTAAATAAATGCATAAGTTTTGCTTTATGCACTCGCGTGTGCAATAATTTTGACAGTTATGCTATTTTAAATTCCCAGGCGCCTAAAATCTTTTGTCTTTAAAACAATGTCGATTTCTTGGGAAATTCCGAGGTTGCGCTTTTTTTTATACACCCTGTATATTAGACTATTTCACATCTACCGCTTGTCGTGCCAGCGACAACTAACGACCAAATGGAAACTAGGCTTTACAAGCGTAAGCAACAAAACAAAGCATGAATGTTACTCTGAGGATTCCAAAGACAAAAAAGAAAGAATTTTCCTTTGAATTTGCTTTTGTTCTATACATTAGCTTGCGTTTCGAGTCTTGTGCTTATGTTGATGCTCATGTCGCACACTTCACTGCATTTCTTTGTTTTGTCTTGGCTTGCGCTTAAGCTTATGTCGCCAGTAAAAACCAGGCTATTTCTCACAGTCTGATATGGAGAAAACCCATTAAAAACAGACAAATAGTATTTCACGGTAAAATTTGAGTTTCAATCTCGCACCGTATTGGAGTGACGGTTTCATAAAAAATAAATAACATTTGGCATCAGCAAACTGGTGAAAAACTTAAATTTGGTTTGCTCGTTGTATATAAATCACCAAAGTCTAAATATACAAACTTAGCACTTTAACTCATTTTAAGACTCTCTTTCCAGCTATGGTAATGATTTCGTGCTTCTTGTCTAGATCAAAATTCCGTCTATAACTGGAATCATCATTCTAGTACGCCGTAGTTGTTCAAACTGCTACGTTATTTAGACTACGTCCATGCACAGTAATCCGTTTAACTTATCTCAAAGCATCATACCTAATTTTAAGAATTTTTTATCACTGCACATTTTTGTGCAAAGTTTAGCCGAGCACTAGAAGCAGGCTCTGGACATTTCTGAACACACCCTTATAATAATGTGTAACAACAAAGCAGGCTACAATTCATATTCAAAAATGCCAAAACGAACATACACTGCACAGCATTCAGGGAAATTTGGGGGCCCAGGACAAACTTTGAGTTGGAGGTTCTCGTGATTCCATGTTCTAACACTATGATTATAGGGGGTCCGGGGGCATCTCCCGGAAAAATTTTGAAATCTGAGGTCCCAGAAATGGCCAAATCCTGCATTCCGGAAGGCTAGTTGACAGTTATATCTATGTATATTTCACTGCAATTCTTTATTTGGGCCCTCTTTTAACTGGGGTCCCAGGGCAAATTGCACCCATCTGGGCGGCCTTGACAGCACCGGTTACGACTATCTGTCAGCTTAGTTTCATAATAACATGACTGAAGAAAATAAGTATTTTCGTCTTGGCAACTGAAAGACGGCTTACGGGCTTAGGCGTAACAAACCTCTATAGAGGAGTTCCAGGGGCATGCACCCACAGACAATTTTGTCATCTAGGCACTATAAAAGGGCATCTCCTGCAATGCGCGGGACATTCTATTGTATTCTGAAAATTATACAGTAATTACAAAATCTTATTAAATATCATTCACTCCATCTTCCAAACTTATAAAGAGATCTTTGGTGAGAGACTTTGTTCATCTGATGAATCATAAGTTTGTTATTAGTGCGGACGTTCGATAATTTGGCAGTCATCATTTCAATTTCAATTAAATCATTTTCATTCAAAATGTTTCGCCGGAATAGTTCAGTTTTTCTGCTCATTGTCTCATTTTCTTGTGTCAATCAATCAATCAATCAATCAATCAATCAATCAAAATATTTAATCAAGGTACCTACGATCTATATACCGGCAGGAGGTAGGTCCTTGCAGAAGGATCGGAAGGTTAACCATGATATAAGAACCCCCTTAAAAAAGCAAATGTTATCACTGCACATTTTACTTTTTATCAGTGCACATTTTACTTTTATCACTGCACAAATTGGTTATCACTGCACACTAAAATTAGGTATGCAAAGCATTAATAATTCATGAGTAAATTAGCCAACCATATTGCTTTATTTTGCTCACAAGATAATATATTCATCCTGTCCTAGGACTGGATCAAGATTAATTCACTTCACTTTTAAGTTATGATTTGTTCGCATGAGATATCATTTCAAATCCTCCAATTCCGACTGGACCAGATTTCAATTCCTCGCATTTTGATCGAGTCCTCGATTTCGCCTCGGACTGGATCGAATTTCGCGGACTTGAAATCTAGTCCAGTCCTCATAGTCGGATTTGAAATATGACATCGTAGCGTTCTCGTATCGTTTCAAATGATTATAGACGATTCTGTGTTGGTGTTATGTACTCAGGTGAATATGATGTTTGTGGGCTAGTATTCCAAAGGTCGTATAGGTACGATTCCCACCGTGGCCAGGCAAATTTTTCAAGCTTGTCCGGTGTGGATATACACTCAGAGTAACATCGTGCACAAACATGATTAGACGATTGTTCTCTATGCCCTTGTGAACGAAGAACAATACAGAAACGGATTAGTGTGGCCGGAACCTTACATCATTTTAACAGCTCATAACCACGCCAGCAGCTAAAACATTTGAAGCCGTGTGGGGTGTTTTATGTGAATTAAGTAAGGGTTGTTGAAAAGTAAGATAAGTACTTTTAAGAGGCAAATAAAGTTTAGTAGTGTATACCTTGGCTCGCATACAAAAATGTAGCTAAGTAATTTTGCTTTCCGCCGTTGCCGTGCCAAACTCCCAATAAAACGTTACCAACGGATTGGTTGGATTAAAGCAATTCCAAGATTAAAGCACAACAGCGGATTTCCTTGGTACCCCCCAAGTCTGGAAATACGCGTCCAGTCACGGTCATTGACCGGTACTATAATACGTGATTTCTGGTGTTTTGACAGGCACTACCTTGATCGTGTCTGTCGCTTTGTTTCAACCCTAAAAAATATTCCTTCTCTTAATCACTCAAATTGTCTCTCTTTATCCCAAAATTTCCTTCCATTTTTGAGAAAATATACAAAAATAATAGCTTAAAAGCAAATTACATCAAATTATCAGGAAACTTATGTGATTATTTCTCTATATTAGCTTACTTTTCACCCTGCTCGGTTTCCTTTGTTCTTATCGGGGAATATATTCAATATTCTATTCCCCTCTAATCAATTTCCGTTTAATAATCCCCTCTAATATTCACCTGCAATGTCTTTGCAGCACAAAAAATGAGAAAAAAAACATAACGAATGCAATATGGCATTAAGAATTATTTCTATTCTGACTCATTAACGCGACCTCGCAATGTGAAAAATAAGTACGTTATTTTATCCCCTCGTTGACTCAAAATAACCTATACAAAATATAATTTCAACAAAATTAAAACGCAAGGTTATAGCAAAAGCTGCTCTGCAAAAGCTGCAAATTTCTAAATACCATTGAACATATAAATGTAACCACTGCATATTTGTATCCTATGCTTTTGATTGACAGGT